TTCAAAGCCATGTTCAATACTAACATGTGGATAATGTCAGCTTGCCAGGCATACCCGCACATAAACTCCGCATGCCTGAGCAGAATGTACCAACTGCTGGAGGAACATTATGATATCGCCCATCTCGGCTTGGTCACATTCGTTGAGGGCATCGATAAACGAGAACACACGAAGGTTGGTCAGAGACCGGATAGTCGATAGGACCAAGTTCTTCAAGTCTCTGATGCCCCAGATCACACTCCCCTCCTGATTGAACATGCCGTGTGCAAGTCTTGAGTAGGTGGTTTTTACGCTGGATGGAATAGCGCCAGATGATAGAAGCTGGTGCAGTAGTGAACGATACATGCCAACGGCAGACCTCTCCAACTCCACTCCCTGGGCGTGGAAGAAGAAATATGGGACTATTGCATCGGGTTCAGTCTTCTTTTTGTTAAGCAGGAGGTATTTCATCAAGGTCGACTTCCCGGCCCCTTCCATCTTAAATGCAACCACATCTTCACGCTTAGAAATCCTGTCTCGATATTTGGCGGAACTCATTATGGTGTCTCCTGAGGCAAGCAGGCCAAAGTGGATAAAAGGAGACTGACAAACTAATCGGCGACGGTCAACAACGCTTTCGTTCTCACAGGCATTGAGATCACACTGGCAATTTTCGCCGTGCCTGTAGCTTGGCCTGAACAAGATATCTTTCTCGACGCCAGGAGATGTTATCTTCAGCCCGTTCTGAATCTTGACGAGGTATGATTTATGGTTATCGGTCAAGCGATCGTGCCACATTCTTAACTGGGCCAGGAAAGACCGGATACTTTGATTCGGTCTTCCCAAATTCGACTTCACCGTATTCTTGCGAGTGAATCGGCCTGGGTGGCGCTTTCCCAAATCACACTGTACAATTCCTTCACTGATCACAACGTCTCCAAGGAAAACGTCCTTTCTTCCCTCGAGTGCACCCGGTTCTCCCCCATTGGGCACCTCTCCACATGTCCCAATCAAAAAGGCGATTTCAATTCCCGGATAGCTGAGTTTGATATGGCCCGTCACACTGGATGCAGCAACCTTTCCGGGTTGAGGCATGTGTACCAGGACCACGTCATACCTCCCAATCCGCCCCAGTGTATATTTATTAGGATCGCCCTGCACCACCCCATACTTGTCGGAGGAGGTTTCGTCGTATATAAAATCAAAGAGCAACTTTATGGCGTGTGCATCTCGGGGACGTGGACAAAGAATTGCGACTCTGAATGCTGCTCGACCTGACGGGCGAGAAATGACTGACATTTTGGCTAACAAAAGATTGAATAAAATATGTGCCTCATGCTACAACATCGAGCGGGGGTTGGTGTTAGCGTAATGGATGAAATCTGCCACTCCGGGGCTTATTGGAAAATATCTCCATGGTGATATCATCGCCATGTTTCTAAGAGTATCAACCTGTGTCCCATTTATTTTATTTTTTTTTTGAAAAGTCATTTTGTCGAGGCAATGGGTAACCCTCGTTTACAGCCTCGGGGATTTCATGAGGGAAATGGGCTAAAAGCGATCCGAGATGAAACCCGACTACACCTGTGGCTATTCCCGGCGGCTAGGAGCACCAGCGCTTAGAGCGAGGACTTTAGTATCCAATCAATCATTCCATACAAAACATTGGGTGGCCAAGTAAGCAAGTTGCAAAGCGCCAGGTTAAGCTTGCGTAGAGCCCATTGGCTCGCTTCCAGGCAATCTATTTTTATGCACTGGCGCCGGTACTCCCTTGCCCGTCAGTCAACCTCCACCACATCCAAGTCGCAGGCAGGGCTTTAGAGGCGGGAACGCCCATCAATTCTTTCCATTATACTCCGTATAGATTCTCAATTTTAACCGACAGATAATTTTCTTTACATAAGGTACATCAAGGTGATTTGAACAATATTAAGTTTCCCGCACCCCCATAACAGATGATGGTGACCGACACTGTGGCGGGGATATCCCTTTTGCCTCAGTGGTTTATCGACAACTTACTCCCCGGCAAATCGGTACAGGAGAATCTATCTTGCATCTAACAAGCACCATTGAGGTCTGGATTTCAATCACTCACGTCTTCAGACCAATATCGCGGCTGAGGCACCGGGTGAAGCCCATTCCGACCACATAGCAAATAAAACATTAACCCGAGCTATGAAGTAAGTACCTGAGTAAGCCGTAAGCCTAACTTGTGCAATGAAAAGAGAGCCACGCAGTGATAGATATATCAATCAAGGCACTCCTTATCAGCAGCTGACGCGGAGCAAATAGTTGCAGAGATCAAGATCTTACAGCATGGGTATCGGCACAGCCGCACGCTGGGTGGGGATCCGGGACGGCTCTAGCTGCCGTGTAGTCGTTATTGGCGGGACATAAGGACGGATAGGAACGGATGGCACTGGGTGGACGCTAATGAGCGTTAGCTTGCAGTACCTGCCTAATCTTGAGGATAGTTACCCCTCATTTGAGAGCAAGGCGGGTCCGGTTTATTATGGATAATGGTAGGGATTCTAGCGTTTCCTTGGAGGTACGTGGTGGCACCTTGATCCATAGCAGTGTGTGAGCATCTCAGCAGATGATTATCGATGTTTACTATATTCGTTTGTTCTTTATGGAGTCTATCATGTTGATGGAAAGAGTTGAGAGCTGATTCCTCTTGCCTGGGGGCGGGGAAATCGGCAGCATCCGACGCACCCTAAAGGTTGCTTACTCCATGGGTCATGATCCTCCGCTACTCACGGAATGCAATCGTCCGTAAATCTTCTAGGCAAGTCTACTGATAACACGCGGGTCCCCTTCCAAGCAGGCTTTTAGCCATAAGCATGCCGGTTATGGAGTAATGCAGCTGGCATCTTCAACGGCGAACCGACGGAATCCGACGTGAGGGGGGGACATTTTACTCCCAGGTGACGAATTAGGCGATAGTAAAATGATTCTTGTATCTATCTCCCATATTATGGTTGTGAAACGGGGTTGGCTGGAATTTCGCCCCGTTCGGACTCCGCGGCGAGAATCAACAGCAGGATTGGATTCCCTTTTAGGGACTGGGTATTTGTTGTCGATTTTATATATATATATCCTGTTGCTACCAATTGCTAAATCGCAGAGATTACTTGTCCTTTTCCAAACGTTTTCATTATGCAGTTCATCCTCAAAGCTATCACCCTGGGTCTTCTGGACACCCTGGCTGTCGGTGCTTCTCTCAACGGTACGAGAGTTTCTGCTTCTTGAGTCGAGAATTTGCTAACTGTCAGCAGAGGCCAAGCGTGACGATGTCGCAAAGCGTGCCGACGACACCATCTACGACTACGTTGTTACTGGTGTTGGAAAACGGGCAGTTGGAAAGCGCAGCGATGATACCATCTATGACCATGTCATCACTGGAATGGGGAAGAGGGACGAGGTCATGAAGCGTGGTGAGGATACTATCTACGACTACGTGATCACTGGCGTTGGCAAGCGCGATACCGACAACATTTACAGCTATGTCGTTACGGGTGCTGGAAAGCGTGGATTCGAGGAGCGGGGTGATGATACCATCTACGAACTGAACCTAATCCAACTTGAACCCAAACCAATGTGAAATCGGGTTTTGGATCTTATTCTATAATCCAGGTTTTAGATGACCAAGAAATCCTTTTTTTAATTCTCAATTGCATTACTCTGCTCTGTAATTATTACAGGGCGCAGACGTGCTGTCTACTGTTGCAAATCCCAGATAAAGCAGGCCGCTCTACAGCCTCTAATTAGTCTGCCAAAACCCTTCTTGTCTCTTAAACCCAACTTTCCATAAAACCTTTGTTTAATACCAAACGTTTCGAGTGAACGAGCTGTGCGGGCCAGGAAGAGCCGGTTGTATGAGCCGTCTTTGACTCCTGAGATACTACACATTGCTGGTGCTGTGACATAGCAGGGATGGGTTCCATTGGGGCCGTGGATGTTGAATCGGTCTAGAACTGGAGGAACCAGGTCCCGGCCTGGGTGCTTGTCAGAGGGGGAGTCCTCGTGAAGAAGGCTTAGGATGTCAACTTCTTGTTGCTTTGAGTCCCCTGTCCCAACCTTGACTGCCACGTAAATTTCGGTCTGGTAGTCCCGACACAGCCATGTCGTCGAGTAGGTTCCGTATCCGAGCTTGTGAACTACTCTGTACCGGGTGTGCAGGAGCTCTCCGACCACGATCGGGTGGTATCCACCCAGCTGGTATTTTTCTAGTCGCTCGACGCCTTCCAGTGGCACATATTTAAATATTGGAGGCTCGGAGGCGGGGACAGAGGTGGTTGTTTAAGTCGAGGTCGTGATGCGTCTGACTGCGAGTGCCGCCAAGGGAATGCTCCGGGGACGGAACGCGAAGCGCGTCACAGGCCATGTTTGTTGGATGTAGGTACGAAATAGGCACGTTGGCTGCGGATGGGAAAGAAACGATGCTACTTTGATGCGCAAGATCATTGCATTAGCGCGGAGATGCATACCGATATCGAGGACTGCGCTTCAAAGATTTGTACCGATGAAACTATCTGGGAAGCTGTCAGGCTACTAAGGGGCCAAAGCACGTGATGCTGCATAATTCTCTGTCGGAAAAGCCCAATTCGAGTGAGAGGTATCCAAATTCTCCAACGGGGCATTATTGCCTACAAAGCGGAGATATTTGGGTCACATAGGTCAAGGATATAAAGAAGGGTAGAGTTAAACTTTTGCCCAGAACATCTCGACGCACACCTATTCGTGCACCCATTCTATTGTTCCCACACACTTTTCTCGGACCCATCACTTTTATTTCTCACTGTCTATAAAAAACATTCTATAAAGATAGGAAAGCAGTCTATGTTTGCCACCCATTTCACACATGACACATTCATTCAGCTGAATGACTTATTTTATCTGACCCCTCCAACACAGACCCACCGGCCCTTCCACGGACCCCCACAATGCATGAACCCCATCTCAGCCACGAATCCACCCACCCACCAAAATTACAAAAAAAATTGGAAAAGAAAAAAGAATGGGGCAAGCCGGGCTTGAACCGGCCACCTCCAGATATCGGACTTCCTGTTCCAGGAAGTCTTCAGTCTGACGCGCTCCCAGATGCGCCATTGCCCCTTTCTTGTTATTTCCGAGGCCGAGTTGACTACATCAGAGGGAACCAGTCTATCATGGCTGCAGTGGCATGTGCAATGAAATCAAGTCGGTAGTGACGATTGCTAAGCAATTTCATACATATACCCACAACATGCAACAGACGGAGTAACTCTATCAGTACTGACCCAAGTCAAACTTCTTTCTCAATCTTCCTCCGAAACGATAGAATGAAATGGGGACGGGGACCATGGCGAGGGCAATGAACCCAACCAGGGAGTTTCCCCACCCGTAGCCCAAGGCGGCATACATGCGCGGTCCCGCCAACGGAAGCAGCGCGCCCATCAGCGAGCGGGTCACCACAAGGGCAGCCATAGCGGAGGCAGCATACCGGGGATAGCAATCGATGACGTACGTCTGCAGGGTGTTATAGATGCCGACCATCCCGATGCCGAACGGCGAGAGGCCGATGATCGGGACGATCCAATGGGCTTTCTCCTGCGCGGACCAACCGTACCAGAAGAACGAAACGGGGACGAACATGGCGAAGAAGATGGTGACGAGGAGGCGCATTTCCGGCTCGAAAGTGTTATTATTCCGCCGCTTCTGCTGCTCGATGGAGCGGTTGCCTGTTAGCGCGAAGGTGGCTTGGCCGATTACGGTGCCGACGCCCAGGCCGAGGTAGGCGAGACCGCTGATTCCTGTGGACCAGTGGTAGGTGTCTTTGAAGACGGTGGAGACGGTGGTGAAGAGGAGGTAGAGGCAGCCGTATAGTGTCGCTAGGTAAAGCGCAACGAGGGCGATGATGGGGGAACGGACGAGGAGGTAGAATGGCATAGTTAGTTTTTGACGTAGCGAAATGTGGTGGGTTGCTGTTGGGCCGTCGTCGTAGCAGCTGCTGAGTTTGGGGCGGTTGAGCTCTTTGCGGAGACGCTCGGTTTTCCATCGCATCAGCACAACGGGGTTGGTTTCGCTGTTGAATATCATCACTAAGCCGGAAAATGTGCCGCCTGCGATGACCAAGACCCAGAAGACCTGGTGTGGTTAGTTTGACGGTCATGTGGACGTGGAGTGAAGACGTACCCATCGCCAGCCTGCCCCTTGGGCGATGAACCCTCCCAGAAGTGGTCCAAGAACAGGTCCGGTCAGGACACCTGTGGTATACACAGCCATCGCGATGCCGCGCTGTTCGGCCACAAAGAGGTCTGCAATGACACCGCCCCCCGTGGTCAAACAGGCGGATCCTCCAATTCCAGTGAGCAAGCGAAAGCCGATCAGGTCCGAGATATTAGGAGCCAGCGCGCAGCCAATTTGGAAGGCCACGAAGAGCGTATTGGCCCCACTGAGGATGATCCTCCGGCCAAACATCTCGCTCATCGGGGAGAAGAAGAGTGGACCTGCCTGCATAGGGGTTATGAGCCGGGGTAATATATTTGGGGACATATATCGAACGTACCACGTATCCCAGCAGGTACGCTGTCACAGAGAGGGTTCCTAGTATGGTAGAGGTGACATGGAAGTCCTCCTCGGCGTAGCTCACTCCCGGGGCGAAGGAGGACGAAGCGAACGGGCTATCAGACAGATCAGAACATGGTTGTGATGTCTCGATGGAATCGAGGAAGTATACCTGACGAACGTGATCAGACTGATCAGCATGATCAAAAACCATTTCCGAGCAATGGCGTAGTTCCTTCCAGGGTCAGACACGCCAGACGAATTCCCGGGCTGTCCCTTACCTAGGATTCGACGGATCCTCGTCACTCTCCCAACCAACAATATCGTTATCCAGGTCCATCAGGGGGTACACTGTCGATCTCTGCAGTCATCATGTCAGTACACGATCCCTGTTGAATGTTTTCCTACGACAAGGAACTACTTACCTTCTCGCTTGCCATGATGGTGATAGCTTTGCTCGTTGAGCCTTGCCGTGGAAGAACAAAGAGAGGAGTCAAGAACAGATGGATCGGGCAATTTTCTCGCCCATGTCATTCATTGTAAAATCCATGTCGAAAATAAATTCTCCCCCCTGGTAGATATATGGGCAAGGACCCCACCGGGATGACTCGGGCATGGTTGATCTGGCACCTCAAAACACAGCCGTCTTCGACTATCCGATTTATCCATTACGGCCCATTATGGCACGCGATTGGCTGTGCCCGCACCGTCCCGAAGTCCGTGACTGAGGGCGCGTGGTCGGCTCTCGGGAGGGTGAGCCCGACATTGGAGTTAGCGTCGGGCTGGCGGTGTGCCGGCTCATTCGGACGCGGTGCTGGAGTCGCCAGCAGATGTACCTTCAGCTACTATTGGTCAGATGCCCCGACCAATCAATATACGAGCTCATCTAAAAGAAATAGTCTAGGCTCAGCAGCTCCCCACTCATTCCAAAGTCCCCCAGCTCTCTTTGGAACAGGAAGTCCTCGCATGCCATGTCCCGCGGCAGGTTGAATGACCGCCCTTCGAGGTAATTCGAGCTCTCTGCAATGACGGCATCCAGTCCATAAGTGTGAGCAGCCCCAGAAATTGGTTCCACGACTTGCTCAGATGACTGGGGGTTGATATCTTCGGACACTGTTGCCGACATATTCGCACTTGGATTATTTGGTTGTAGCTGAACCCCGTATCCCGAGGGCGTGAGAGCAGAGTTAAGATGCGTCATCCGCGGCTGCGTGGCTGGAATCATACTAAATACTCCGGGTGGGTTGGACTGCAAAGCATGCATCTCTCCAGGGTGCTGCATCAGACTGGAACTATGGGCGATCGTCTGCACGACGACGGGGGATACATAATCTCCCTTGCTTTGGGATTGTATGCCAAAGGCTTTCTCCGCTAGGGCAGAGGTAACCGATTCATCTTGTTTACTGGGCGCCGTGCTTGGCGCCGTGCTTGGCGTTTGGGACTGCGAGCCGTGGTCCGATTTGAAAATCGCCGCCGTTAGAACCTAGATCAAGATTAGCCGATTCCTATGACCGAAAGCTAGGTATTACCGTTAAGACTACGTGGAGCCGACGTGAATGGGAACTGTACGGCCAGAGGCACGACAGCATTTTTTTAGCGGTTTTCAGATCAGCCTTGAGGTGCTGTGTATTGTTGCGATCCTTGGAACCGACCACGACGTATATTAGCGATAGAGTCGCTGTTCCAATCATGTACGCAATCCTCCAGTGGGCACCGAACAGGAGCCCATCGCGGTGCATGTCCTCGGCCAGGTGAATGAGGCTACGGCTGGCATCGACACACCCGGATGCAAATTTCTGGAATACATCGCTATTGCCAACTGAATCGTCAAGGAGATGGTGTATAAATGGACGGTAGAGAAGGATTTGAGCATGCGCATAGCTCATACAAAGTTCGTATTTTGCCCTGTGGTATGTCAGCTGGGGTCTGTATGTGGCGTTGTGATTCATCAGCCTACTTCTCAAGGTGGGGCGCATGTCGGCTGTGGCCAAGCCTGCAAGCCAGAGGTAGCGATTCAGCCCATTTCTGCAGCTCTTTTTCCAGAGAAATAACGGTTTCCTTGCTGACCAATCGTTTGGCGGAGCCACTGCCGTCTTTTGCCCTGCTCGCACTTGGCGAAGGGTACATCTGTTGGACAATATGATCAAAGACGCAATAAAGCTTAAATAAAGCAACCGTGCAAGACATAGTTCGTACTGCGACAGGATCTTCCGGCGATGATCCTATCTTCTCCATCTTATGATCTGAGTCATCGATGTCCAAGGGATGTGGGATGTCGATTTCGCGGCCATCGATCGGCCGTGCAAGGCCGCACCCCGTGGCCACGAAGGTCAACAGTTGCCGGAGAGCCCAGAACAACCGTCTCTTGACCTCTGTGATAATGGGGATGTCTTTGACGCTTCTCTGCTGAAGGTTGAGGCGTATCGATAAGGAGAACGCGTGGGAGAGGCATGAGTAACTTGGCGATAGTCTCTCCGTGCTCAGAATGACCAGGTTCATATAGAAGATGGCTTGCAGAGTGACGGTGTCATTGCAGTTTTGCAGATCAACGAGATCACGAGCTATTGTGAAATAAGTCGCACTACGCCTGTTAGCTCGCTACCGTCGATCCTAGGCGATAGGGTTACCTTTCGGTCGCCAGTTCGTCGCCGCTCTCTAACGAGCCGTATTCCGTTTTCTGGAAGAGACAACCCAGAGACATGAGCGCGTAGACCAGTGGCATATGCCGTATCTCCCCTTCGCTATAGTCGCCTCGGTTCAAGGTGTAGAGCAGTTCAAAGCTCACGTCGAAGGCTGGCCGGTGGAGGACATGGTAGAGCTCACTTGCATCCAGGGCCAAGTTGATCAAATACTCCGCTCGGGCGCGAGGGGGTAATACAACCTTCTGAAGGGACGTGGTCCTCGGTTGGAACAGTTGCAAGCTGGGTCTCTCCCGGAGGAGGAGCCGGCTGTCAAAGTCGGCTGTATCCCAGGCGCCCAGTTCCGCCTTCAGACGCTCGATGAAGGCTCGATCGGACCCCGAGACGCCCGAGCGCGCTTCCCCGTGCGCTGAGCGGTCCTGGAGCATGGACCCGATGCGCTCTGGTTCCGCATGGTGGAAATTCCCATTAAGGGCGCTGCCGACTGCCACCGTTGGTTCCTGCTGCTGGGAAGTCGAGGAGCTGGGAGATGCTGTGCATGGGCGTTCCTTGGCCAGTAAGGTTGTGTGTTGGGATTCCTCCATCGCCTTGATCCGTTTTTCCAGCTCGTGTAATCGGTCGGAATGCGGGGAGGGCTTCCGCTTGCGCCTTGGCTCCGGGTAGGCGCAGTCTGTCCGTGTCCCGTTAGCCGTGTCCCGCAGCTCGACGAAGGGGGTCGCACCATTGAAGGAGGTTCTGCAGTGGCCACATGGGGTTGCACCGTTGCATTTGATCTTCATCTGGCGACACCGCTCGCACGCCCGACGGGTGCGCTCCTTGGGTTTGGCCGAGGCATCGTCCGCGGATGTGTCTTGGGAAGGAGGGGGGGGCATCTGAACGTGGTGAAACATGGCGAGGGAGGGGAGGAGATGACGGAGATGGCGTGCCTGA